TAAAAGTCGCCACTGTTGGGAACACTGGTGAGCAGACATCTTGGGTATAAATAAGGCAAAATGTAATCGCCAATAAAAAGGAGGAAAATTTCAAGATTTAAAACTATAATTTCTTGTGAACAGCAGTTTGGGCTCCCCTTTCAAGCGGGCCCCGTGCAAATGCACCTGTTGCAGCTGCCTAGTTATGGCTCTGAACAAATTTGAAAAGAATCAGGGCTATTGTCGAACAAGGTGAGAGAAAACGACTCATGCAAATTTCTTCCGCTATATACTAATTCATTTCTCTGTGGTTTCCAAATGCGTAAAACTTAACCCAATGATAAATTTACTAAAAATTGCGGCTTATACAACAACACTAATTCCATCGCTCGTAATTCTATCTGTGATAGAGCTATCATTAATAGAAGGCAAATGAAATTCTTTTATTGTTTGTAATGTTCATTGGATCTACTTTGCTTTCTTATTTACCACAAACAAGAATTTATGGATATTGTAATTATTTTAGTACATTAAATCTGGATCACTTATGACGAGAACCATTTTATAAAATATTTTGAATGCTTCTAAGAAATTGTTAATATTTTATAAAACAAAAATATTCTGATCTTTTGCTAAATATTGTAACGATGTACTCATACGCGGTATTCTTATATTGCATCAGTTTGCATTCAGGCTATTTACTAGTTACTAACGAAATAATTATTATTCTGTCTTTAAATTTTACTGCAGACCGTAAATTCGGCATTTCAAGCGTAGGCATGTTTATTCTCGTCCCTCTTAAGAGCGTCGTATAACTGTAAAAAAATTTCAACAACACATTCTGCAACTTTCTTTACTGTTATGAAATATTGTTTAAAAAATAACTTTTGTATTATTAATCATAATAAATAAAATTGTGTTTGGCGCCATCTAGTACGAGATTTTGTTATAAGAAACTTTTTATCTGTATGCATATATCCTCTTTTCCGACATAGTTTGAGCAAACAATTCAGGGTAAAGACATGGTTCAGATATCAAATTAAAACTCTTACCTTGTAGATGATGCTGAAGAGATATGAAAGTTGCAATGGTTCATACGTGGCTGAGTGGCAAAGATACAATGTTAAGTCTAAGGGTGCGACTATGCAAACGCGAGCGAGCGAGAATATGTGGCGAGAAGAAGTGAGATGCGATAAATATCAAAACCTGTCAGATATGTGCGAGAACCAAAAATTCGCTCTCGCCAGCGTTATTTCTCGCTTCGCGTTTGTGCATGGTTTTCCTTTGCGAAAACTAAATCGCTCGCAACCTCTCGCTCGCTCTAAATTCGCGTCTGCATAGTCGCACCCTAAGAGACAAACATGTCTGGCGCTCAGAATAGAACCTTTATCTAACAAAAGTACATAACATGTTAATAAGGGTAGGCTTTAGGGTTGGTTGGATTTCCACCACGTATGTTAACATTAATAATCGGAATTATGTTCATGCTAATCAGGAATCTTGACACTAAAATAGTTTGGTTAATGAAACGAGATTAGTTATAAATGGTGTGTTTAACGACACAATTAACATCGAGATCCTGACGGGTGAACACAGCGAAACCATTCAGATAATATTAATTAAGACCAATCGATAACACTTTTACAATTAAACGATTGTAATTTCCTAATATTCTGGCATTCGCCAGAGCAATGAACAAAAGTCAAGGACAAACATTCGGTGAAGTTGGTATTTATTTACCAGATACGATTTTCAGTCATGGTGTGTATTATTGGCTCTTTCCCCATGAAGATACGCAAAAGGTTCTATGTCATTCAACACGTCCTCATCAAATTTGGCACAAATATTCCTCAACACCCTAAAAACAATATTGTGGGCTCGAGTGGTTGGGTCCCCACCCCAACCACTCTTAAAGCCCTTTTAATTTAAGTCCGATCAATTTTTTGTTTTGTAGTTTCATTATTGTAAATATTCAGATCAATGAATGTAGATTTTAGTTACTAAAACTAATGTTTCTATCAACCTCTTCCACCTCAACCTCACCAATCTCCCACCCCCTCAAAAGCCGAGCAACGACGGGCACGTGGAGGTAGTACCATTAATATTAAAATCGTAATGATGAATTTTATTTAAAAAACAAAATTGTAAAGTCTGACCCCTCTCGACATATGACACGCAACCATCCACTACCTCCCCAATCCTCGACTTTTAACCAGTTTGTTATCTTTATTGTGACCTGGCAGAATACATTGTGTTGGAGCCGTACAAGTGCTTATAAAGTAAAAAATTAGATCATTTGTATATAAATTTACTTTAGATATTCGATTTAATTGGATTTTACGAACAGCGATATTAACTATGGCCTACTGAAGGATGTTTGGGAAATTCTTTAGCCAATGAGACATTGCGATTCATATAAGACACAGGAAGATTTATTTCAGCCTTCTTTTCGACAAAAGTCGTATCGTACAGTATATGCCGTAAAATATAGCAATTTCGGTTAATATCGCTCATGCTATCTGCTTTATTACAAAAAATGTCTAAATAATATAGTGTCCCAATTCAAGGACTTTAAACTACAAGGATAGCCAGATCCCGTATATTTGTTAGCGTGACCTTGGATCTATGTGACGTCACAGAAAGTCCTCTACTTCAACATGACAGATCTTTCAAATAACAAAATACGATAAAATATTAAATCATTTCTTAATTTATTATTAAATTACTACTAAGAATAGCCAGATCCAGTATATTTGTTAGCATGACCTTGGATCTATGTGACGTCACAGCAAGCCCTCTACTTCAACATGACAGATCTTTCAAATAACAAAATACGATAAAATATTAAATCATTTCTTAATTAATTATTAAATTACTACTAAATGTAAACTACTGTAGAATTTTCGGATTTAATAAGTGTACTGTACGTCAATAAATTTACAAGTCTTTTGTCTAATATTTATTTAACAAATTAATGAGCTATATTTTTTATTATGTGATTATCTTACTTAACTTTTTAATTTTTTTTCGACAATCACCATTTTCAGAAGGCATTCTTTTCAATATTTTATAGTTTTCTTGTTTAAGATTTCTATAATTAATTCTTATTATAGTTCTTAATTTACAAAAATCTTTTATTAAAGTAAAAGGTAAAACTGTTTCCACTGACTAATTCTGTACAACTCCGGGGCCTTTTTTATACGATTCATCGTGATATATTTCGAAATATTTATTCCATTCTATAATTTTTGCTAGCCATTCATCAGTAGGTTTAATAAGCCCTCCATAAGATAAATGTTGCACCCATGACGGAATGCTATAGTTGTAATGATTTTTAATTTTGTTAGTGGAATTAATTAAGTTTGGGTATTTTTCTTTATATTTATAGGCAAAATATCCTGCTATATACTCGAGAGCATCGTAGGAAGTTTCTTCAGAGATTGTGTTAAAGTCTAGATTGCATGTAGAGTTTCCTGAAGATTTATTTGAAGAAAAAGTAGTTTTACATTCAGTATATTGGTCTGTATTTTCACTTGATACTTCTACATGTGCTTTCTCTAAAACTTTGGGTATAATATATTCCTCTTGTCTTCGATCTGTAGTATTTACTTTTGACTCTAAAATACCAGGATTCTTACCTAAAATAATCAATCTAATCCTATATATAGCATTTAATGGGCTTGGATGTTCATTAGGATCCCGGCTTCTAATTTTAAAAAAAAAAGTTTTCCAGACAATCTTGATTTAAATTGTGAGTGCAGATGTATTTTATATCAAAAGTCGATTTCATATCTTGAAAAAGATCAATTAGCGATTTCATTGAGATTATCATTCCTTTCTGGAAAATTTGGAGGGCATTTTTTCCACTTGCTCTCATTGTTGAGATTATTTTTATCATTTTATTTAAATGTTCTTCTTGTAATTCCAAGTCTACACCATATCCATTTTTGCTTGGAACAGAACCTTTTGGTGCATAGCTATTAAAAATGTCGAACCACATATTTATATCTCTAATATACGTTTCATTGATAATAATAATTGATTCATAATAAACGTTTCATTGATATTCACATTCAATTCTTTCCATAAACTTATGTTACTGCAACTACAGTCACTGACGCAAGCTACTACATTATACGATAGTAAATAAAGTTCTGCTATTAATTTTAAAAGTATTTCTCTTGTCATTTTTTGATCAAACCCGATGTAAACAGGTTGCTTCCAATTTGAAAAAAGAAGGTTATTATTGCAACCATACACAGCACACCTAGTACTCAGCATTTTGTTCTTCACCTAACATAAAAATATAGCTTTAAATATTTAATGACTTGTATTTAAATCATCTTACCTTATAAAAAACTTAGTCAAATAAAACAATTACAGAAATATTAAAATAAATCACTTCGTTAATCACAAAATTGGACGAATATTAAAAGCGAAAACTAAACACGCGCACACCCTGCTCTATGTAAACAGAGAGGTCAGGACACGTGCTGACGTCACTAACTTGCCATTCCTGGCTAACATTGTAGAATAGGGATCTGGCTAACATTGTAGAATAGGGATCTGGCTATCCTTGTAGTATACAGTCCTTGGTCCCGATTAACCGAGATTTCCGTGTATTTAAAATAATATCGAAAGAATGGAAAGGCCATTTCATCATACTTCTTTGTTTATACAGTATCTTTATAATTTGTGATGTTCCAGAGCCGTTATTTTTAATAATAATCAAAGATTTAATAAAACTAAATGCGCAAATTTCAACAAGTTAATGAATTGTTATTTTCTAACTTCCTATCAGTTGTGACACATCTTCCTGAGATTACGACTCATCAGGGGAAGTGTTGTTTAAAATTTTAGATTGGACGATTGTTAAGTACCACATCGCAATGCCCAAATTTGGTCAGATGACGATGATTCTGAAGATGAGATCAACTAGAGATTAGAAAAGGAGTTCGCTCGAGGAAGACGGTTAGAGAGGAGGAACTTCTTGGGTACTTCTACCAAGAAGTTCCTCCTCTCAAGGTTCTCTAGGCCTACGCGCTCGAATTCTAGATATTTCGCTCGCTTCCGAGGATTAACAAATTTCCGACCTTTCCTACAAATTCCTGCAGAGAATTACCTTAGGATTGTGTTCTCTTTTAGGAAGAATTACTTTCAAAGGAGTAGAAATGGCACAGACTGCGCTCCTAAGACAACTATCGAAGATCAATTGAATCGCAGGTAAATATCGTCTCACGAATTCAATGTAAATTCTAACCTCGAGAAAATTAGGCGCGACGTTAGTATATTATTGATAGGACTTACAACGATCAAACAAGAAAATAACATATTATGTTTAAATCTTTCGTATTTAATTCCGTATACGAGTGATTCACTTTCCGTGTTGCCTTTCAAATTCCTCTTCCGTTCGCTTGCTTACTCCCCATATCGAAAGTCGCGACCTAGGTCCGAACTCAAAACCTAGGTAGTCAGGACGACTCGGTCATTCCGCGTGATCGGTATCTCACGTGATACCTCCATTCCGACCACGTGACCCCCATGTTTTTATTAAATTGAATTATAGTTAAATAAAATAAAAAGTTATGTATTCCCGAATTTTCCCTTCCAGAATATAAACTTCCCCATAAAATATTCTGTTGACTTGAAATACATCTTTGAGGAAAGATCTCCAATTTGGCAACCTGTCTTCAGAATTTCCAGGTTAATTTGTCAGAAGAAAAACAGCAGACTAGATCCTGAACATGTTAGCATGTTTCTTTTCATAAATAAAGTTCTGCAGTAGATGAAAATGAGAACCACCATTGATTATTCTATTAATTAGAAAGATACTGTGAAACACAAAGGCAAAATTTGCATTATATCATGGGAACCCTTGAGCGACCATCAAACTCATCCATGTTGAGCCCAAGATCACAGTGAAAATTATAACATTTTACTTCTTCCTCAACTTTCCCCGCAAACAAATTCACCAAACTATTCCAGCATAATGGGGCACTTACTCCCCTGTAACAGAATTTACTAATTGATCAATTGTTAACACAAGGTGAGAACTTATACTATAAACGAGGCAGTTATGGATTCTTAACAGTTGTAAAGTAGTAATAGAAACAATTATGCAATTTCTGTGCCACCATAAAAATACCATGGATCTGAATTAGATTCAAAACTGGATCCCTGAGTAGAATTTGCAAGGTTGGGTAAAAACAGATGATCTGTTTGCCAAAGTGCACGTTCTCAGTCTATTTTGGGTATGGGTGTTTGTATCACCTTGCAGATTTGAAATTTAATTAAAAAATATGATTGCTCTGTTATTTTATTGACTATCAATAAATATATCTATATTTATTACAACATTATGTACAATCTTCCAGATAAAAAAACATTGTGGCAATAACAACACAACAATAGCAACAATACTCCAGTTGATAATGGAGTCTGAAGATGAGAATTTTTCTAAAAAAATATTCTGAAACTCTGAGAAAGTATGAAGATGTGACAAATTACTTTCTATAATCTGACATGAGTATAAAAACATTGCACTGGTTAGTCCAGCCAACCGACGAGAACGAGTCTCTACTTTGATTAAATATTCCGCGAGAGAAGCCCTGCCGCCTCTGAATGAGGCGACGGAACGAATTTCACTTCCGACACTTCTGCTGTCTGTTCTGAACGACGGAAGAAGGGGTTACGTTTGAAACTGCAACCTTGGCGGCGAGTGTACCAGACACTTTCTGAAAACAGAAAACAAGATTTATTAAGATGCCATTTATAGAAAACTATTAAAACCTATAAAACTTATCTAACCTGATGTGCTGGAGTGAGAGAGACAGGTATATATATTTGCTGTGTTCCACCTGTAAGTTAAAGGTGTTTTATGTAAATTTCCAGAAAAATCATACTCGATTTCCTTACAAATCTTACTTTGATCCGGCTGAAGCGAAAGAGTTGGAGATTGTCCAAGATTTAAAATTACCCTGTCTGATAGACTGGTCGGTGATGACGCCGCGTAGACAATACCCTGTGCCGTCTGATACATGACCGTTCCAGGAACGGCAGTCGAACTGTTCGAACTGATACTCGACGTAGGAATTACCACATTTCCTAAATTTATATCAATTTTAACAATTTTTTTCTTAAACATTTCAAAAACACACTTTCTGTCATACTTACCAGATACAACCGAAATATTGGATTGGGTACTAGATATGGAATTCTGAGTGGGTGTATTTGGAGTTGATGTGCCTATATTATAAAAATATCAAGTTAAAAAACAATAAATATTGTGAATGTTTTTATTTAATAAGTAAAAATGATAAATATTTTACAGATTTCAGGTTATAAAATACAGAGTTCCTATTCAAATTTTTGTTTTAAATTCTCTGACTTTCCCTGACCAACTTTGTACAAATTCCCTGACCCTCACATCCCCACAATGACAAAATGAAACAGCATTTGAATTACTATGCAAATATGCTATTGCTTCTTCAACTTTTTAATTAGTTATTTTTTCTAATTAACAGTTACATAATTTTTTTAATTGCCGAATAATTAAAATTAAAAATAAAATGTTTTAAATTAAAATAATTTATCCAATTATTGACGCACCACCATAAATTTATGTGGCTTTGAAAAAATAAAAAGCCATTATTTATTTTTATTCATTAACAAATCCTGTATAATCCATGTTGCATTTTATAATTCTTCACATAAACAATCAATATTAGTTTTTAAAATTAATCTGCACTATCAGTAAATGAAATGAACATCTGTAATAATTGTATAAACATTAAACTAAATTTTAAAATTACACAGCAATCACAATTTATAAGGTCTGATTTTGAATGATCTTACAATGCAATAGAAGACTTATTAAATCTAAAATTGTAAAAAAAATGTAAAACTTGAAATTAACTCATTTGATATGAATTTCAAAGTTTAGAGAACTGCTTACAAACTTTGTCTTTAAGTATAGGATCAAAAGATAAAAACTGATGAATAGCACTTGTGCATTCATTACATTTCTATTATATGCACCACACACAATAAGTAAATATTTCACTGTAATAGTTTTAATATTCTTATTATCAACAGTTCCATCTTCATTTAAATTGTAAAAGAAAAACTTTGTCCAGTTTTTCAGAAATTGTATTGTCTAAGTACAAAATACTCCAATGACATGCATTAACCTAGAGCTTCTCAAACTTCACCTTCTGGTAGACAGGTTTAATGTATTTTTGTGCACCATTTACCTAATTTGCAAAGGTTACGGTCAGTATATTTGCTTAGACCAAGGATGACCATAACCTGCGGCCCACTACACCCTAAAATTTTTAAGTACATTTTCATTTATTTTGGTAAAGAACATTGTAAAAATTATTCCCACTTCACTGGATGCACTTTGATGTTGTAATGACGTAACTGATGCTAGAAAACTGTACTATCCCACATGCAAAGCATACTGTTGTGAACAATTCTTTTCATGTATGAAAAACATCAAAACTGCTGAAAGCAATAGGTTGAGTGATTCCCATTTAACTAACATTCCTATAATTATGACTAGTGCCATATATGCAGATACAAGTACCCCCGTATAACAAGGGAGTTATGTTCCAAAAAATTGCCGTGTTATGCAAATCTGTGTTATACAAAACAAAAAACTAGTACGAAACGGGGGTTAGGTTCCAAAAATTAAAAAACGTGTTATTATATTTTCATAATTAAGATAAATATCTTTATTCAAATTTTCTTAAGCAATACATATTAATATAAATTAAACAATGTTTTCTTCATCGTCACTAAGCACTATTAACCGAGAGCATTTTCTTTTTGGCAAGATATCATTATCCTCTGAGCATTTTTCTGCATTATCTTCAGATCCATGCTTTTGCAAAAAATATGTTATTTTAAATTGCTTGGTTTTAGTTAAAACATCTTTATAAATTTCCTTATATGGTTATATTACCTATGAAGAATAAAGCAAGTATGGAATAAGGAAAAACATCTGGCAACACAAAATCAGAAGCGTTGAGATCTGGCAACATGAAACAAGTTTTGAGAAGGATTACTTGAATCCACAGAAGATGGAAAAGAAAATTTACATACTTAAGTACTAATAGTTAACAAAAATTATTATTTTCATGAACTATTAGTACTTAAGTATGAGAAAATTTATTACATTTCATGTTGTACGAGAGTTTTACCCAATTCTCAAACCGTGTTACAGTGAATCCGTGCTACAGAAGTGCCATGTTATACGGGAATTATCTGTATTGACAATATTATGACAGGAAGGCAATGTCAAAAATTGCATTGAATTTATTTTTATTTTGTGAGAGTATAATTTGTTTACTGTCATTAATACAGTGTTTTATGTATTTATATATATTTATTAATAAAATTTGACGTTCACAATTTGAACTTTTTAAAAGTATATATTTATATAAAGTAAATTTGTGGATTGCCAAGCATACCTATATTTCAAATTTGGCCCATTAGGGAAAAAGGTTGGACAACCCTGGCTTAGACCCACAGGGATCTGTTGAGAACTCTGCTATCTGAAATCAAACCACAGTAGAACCCCCTCTAATCTGTCACCTTTGAGACTGGGAGTATGGTCAGAACACAAAAAAGGTCTGATTATCAGAAAAAAGTAAAATAAACAATCTTCCCCTTTGTCCAGTCTTTGTAGCACTGCTAATTTTTCATTTAATGAAAGGAGTAACGTGTTTACGTTTCACTCCTGACTTGTTGAAAAAACACACAGAACTGTACATATACACACAATGTAAAACATATACTGTAACAAACACAGAAGAACATGACAGGCGGTGAGTCACCGACGAGTCGAGACAAATTTCTCAACTCTGAACACAGTTGGATTAACCAGAGTGACAGACTAGCCGAGGGTGGACTAGAAGGGTTCTATTGCAGTTGGATGTGAAAATGTCTACTTTTCAGCACTACACACTGTGCAAAAATTTTCTGTGTTTTCAGATGACACTTTCAATGATGTCAAAGAAAGCGGTTAAGTATCTCAGAATGGATAGATTTATGGGAAAAGGCAATGTAACATCTGGAAATCTTGCAAGGAAGGATGCTTTAAGGAAGACTTTCTACAGGAAACTGACTATTAGGTGTTAGTTTTATGAAGAAAACCTGAAAAACTTTATGTGGTCAACCCATTGGTGAGATTAAAACCTGCAGCCACATGTTTTATCCATTAAGACATTGATGGGGTTAATAAAATTCTTAAAATGTGAAAAGAGTGCTAAAATGTTATTATGATGCTTGTATGAAGTGTGAATAAAAGTAAATGAAATAAGTATGAATAAAATAATATTACATTAAAAAATTTATACTCAGACTCTTTAATCCAACCTTTTAGCATCCTCTATTTGTGAATGAGAAGCTTTCAAAGTTTTCTTAATCAGACAAATTTATTGTCTGTTAATTCAGAGTTTACTGTATTTACAATAAATATTCAAAGTGGCAACTGACAACTAAGACAAACCACATTTTGCACTTCAAAGCATAACTGTCATTGTCTTGATAGTATCAAAAGCTGAAGTGATACAAACGTACAGTTCTTTGTTTCCACTAGTGTTTCATATTATATTCTTTATGTATCCTCCAAATTTTCTGCTGGTTATAGCTCCCAATTTTTTTTGGAACCTAGGTTGCTTCATAGAAAATGCTCATCTCATCGACCTCTATCACCCCTTAAATTTACAGTACATCAAACATGTCCTGTTATATCTTTCATTTTTAACACTGTCCTACAGACACAAAGAGGGCAGTTTTTCTTTGTCTTTCAGTTTGACCAGGCTTGTAATGAGGAGACTGAATAACACAGGATGTGACCCAACATATTTGGGACAAACCACTCTCGAACAATTCCTAGACTGCTCATCCAAATTCAATCACAAGTTCTCATAGTGGTAGCCTGACATCTTAACCACCCCATCCATCCTAAAAATATATTCTTATATCCATTATACATGTAATTTTAAAAGTAACATCTTTCAGGCAAATTTCTGGTTATCATCTCTCATATTCGACAAATAATGATTAGAATATATAAAAGTAACACTTCTACTGTGTCTAAATACAATGGCATTTTAGCTTTGTAAAAATTCACTTGATGAAAACTTTTGTGTAGTTGCAGAAATTCTACTCCTTCCTCCATACACCATTTTTTAATTTCATAACACAACTTTAATACATTACAGTTATTATTTGAGAGTTTATTGTTAAAAGCTTGACTGAACAATAAGACACTTGCTATTTTGGTTTCCTTATTGTACAATCTACTTGGGCTACACCACTGGTGATACTTCCTCTGGAGGCACAAACTTATAGTCCATATTCTACAAGTGATGTTTATGTTTAAATAACCATTTAACACTTTTAGAATTTGCATGTTTAAATAACAAGCCACCTTTTAAAATAATTGTTGCAGACCATATACATTTAGTTTCAAGCAATTTGTATTTTGTATGGAACATTAAGTATTATATGTGACAAAGGTGTGTCCCAATGGGTTCTCCAGTTTCAGGAGATGTAGAAATTGTATCAAAATAGATAAAAGGCCCCTCAAACCAATGATTTTCTTAAAAGCATCCAGCTATTTTTAAGATATTTAGATGACATGCTTATTATATGGAAGGGCAGAGGGAAGATACAAGAATTTGTTGAAAGATTAATTGAAACTCAGTAGTAGTTATTAATATAATTGAAGGTAGTTTGACAAAATTAATCTCTTAAACTAAACCATTTATAAAAACAAAGTAGCCCAAACACTAAAGTTTACCATAAGCACATTGCTATAGTTTCCTTTACACATTGGATCTTGAATGATACAATAACACAAAAGCTATCAAGCTTTTAGAACACTAGTAAATAGAGTGATCTCTTGCTCATCAACAAACAAGGACAGAAATAAGAAATTTAAACTAATTACAACAACAGCCAGCAAGCATAGTTTCTCTTGATATACAATGAATGACATTATTAAAGCTCCATTAAACAAGCATATGAAAGAAGATAAAAATTAAAATGAGCAAATAGCCCTAGAAGAAGCAGGAAAATTGATAGTGGCAACAACAATGTGTTATGTCAAAAAGCAGGTTGTAGCTTAGAAGTTAAAAGGTTTCCATCAGTCATGTGCATTTTAAGATATGACAAAGAAAAAACACACAAGCTATCTAAATTGGGAGTTTACACCTTAAAGCTGTTTAGACACAACATTGCATAACAATGTATATCTTAATGTGCAATTGGACATAAAACTGTAATGGGAATTTTGAATAATGCAGTGGGAATCACATATTTATGCAGTAATTAATTGTCCAATTCTGGATTTATAATTACAGTAGAGCATCGCTTATCCGAAAACCAGTCAACCGAACGGTCAGTTAACCGAAAGCGTTCCAGTTGGCAAATTTAAATTTCTGCTACAGCTGTGGTGCTACAAACTTTGGCTATGTCTTGACTACTCCAATACATTTTTTTGTTGGTGTATGTGTTTTAGCTGGCAGCACTGGCACTTTCGTGTGGTGTTTTTCTGAGGACTGTGTGTCGGGACATCTGTCGTGCTGAATCGAACATTTTTGATACTAGATTAACTTCTAAAGTATAATCTTTTTTGTTTTTATATTTTTCAATATATTTATTTTGTTTGTACAAAATAAAGAAATAATTTTCAATGATACAATAGCCACGATTATTATTATAAAAATTTTTGTTANGGCTACTTTAATATTATTTTTGTTAAATTTTTGCGTGTTTTAGCTGGCAACATGGCTCAACCATTGAAGGGAGACCAGTATTTAAACAAGACTTAATTTTCTAATTATGAGTGGTTGTTTGTTTTGTGAGCAATAAAATAATTTTCAATGATACAATAGCCACGATTATTATTATAAAAATTTTTGTTAGGCTTAACATCGACAAAAATTCAATGCAAAGTGACACGCAATGGAGAAAAATTTCAACATGGGATAAGTTAATTTATTTTTTCATGCATAATCAGTTATCCGAACAACCCTAGTCCCCAATTGATTCAGATAAACGATGCTCTACTGTACTTTTTTCTTCCGGTTATGTTAAAGTTAAAATATTTACCTAAATTACATAGTATACAGTAAAACCTATCCAAAACAGAACACAAATAAAAAGGAAACCAGCCTAAGCTGAAAAAAATTCTTTGGAACAAAGCAATTTTTATATATTAAAATAGAATGTGTTCAAAGTGGAAACTTACTAAACCTACCAAGTTTAGTTTTATAAACTGTATAAATATATGAGAGCCACAATAAAGGTCTAAAAAGCCACCACATATGGCTTATAAGATACAGTCATCCACCATGGTTAAATTCTATAATAGCTGAGAAAATAAAAACTTGCACCCAACAGTTTAAAAATTCTTAATTCAGATTATCCTTAAACATGAACAGTTTTTTACATACTGTTTTAGTATCTTGTTTATACAAAAAACTGTGTTCTCTTATATGTATAAACATTTGTGTATATTGTATAAATTGGGAAGATGTTCTATGATGTACTATCCATCGACTTTGTTTTATTTGATATGAGATGTTATACTAAGGATATATTGAGAAATTTTTTTAACCATGCTAATTATGTTTTCTAGATTTACAACCTTTAAATATTCATTTAATTAAATAATATAGTTTAAAAAGCTATATATCAATCATTAATAATTATGGCTTTAGCAGAATACTTATATATATGATAGAATCCAAAAGTTCAGAGACAGGGACTAAGGCAAGGAACTATACACCAAATCCCCAAATCTTTGGATCCTAACACAAAAAACTTTGATAATATAAATAAATATATTAAATATTCTAATATTTACCAGACAGAGAAACTATTGCTGCAGGAGAAATCCTAAATAAAGGAGACTGATTTTGCGATGAGACTGGTGATTGATTATTCGATAGCTGATTTTGTGCTGCAGACTGAAGAGTTCCAATATGCAGTGTTGAACCCTGCGGCAGAGCACCTCCTGAAATTGAAATGCCATCAGCCATCAGACAAAACGTGAAAATAAAAAAAGAATAGTGTACAACAAGATAACTCACCTGGTGCAAGTATCGTAGTGAATCCCGTACCTTGTGGAAGCTGCATAGATATGGCTGGCGTTCCGGAAACTTTTGTATTGTTATTGCCATTTGTTCCCAGAGCTGTAGTGGCACCAGCAAGCAATGGAATTGCAGTTAAGTTACTAGGAAGCGGACTAGGAAGAGAAGTTATGGGTCCTCCGACTGTAGGTGAGACAGCTATGCTCTGAACTGTATTGGTCCCGGACAACGTGGCCGATCCATCCTGATTAACAAACAGAGTCTTGACATCCGGCTTGTTGTCGCCATCCTCTATGTTGTAAGATAATTCAGTTTCTTCATATCCAGCTGCACTCATTCTTTGATCCGGTGTGGAGGCACTAGGACCTACAGGTGGATCCGGGGAATTTAAGCAAGTCTGTATAAGAGCTTTACCTGCCTCGCTAGTTATCATCGGCTGCAGTTTCCGTGTCGCAAAAGTATATACATGTCCCGTTTCACTAGCAACCAAAACCATAACTTGTGTTCCTGTCAGCGTGGATAACTCGTAAGCCTACAATTAAAAAACAAAGAAGTAATGCTATGCAATTTATATTTTGATTATTAACAAACTTAATTTATAAAAATACTGTGCATATATTTAAAGAGGAAACAAGCCATTTATAATGTTTTTAGAATGTTAACATTAATATTGTCCCTTTTTAATTATACTGATCATGAGATTGGCAAGGCTACAATAGGGAACATTAGAGTAATAAGGGATGGGACCAAATATATCCAGAACAGAACGGCCGTGAAAAAATCCCAAGGTTCATCAACCACCTGGATTTGACTCCAGATCCCCAGAGCATTAAATCGATGATGATGATTTTTGTATATGATAACACAATTCACAGACAATATACAAACAACAACATATACTGTAAATTCAAATCTACAGTAAGTGTCCAGAAGACATTTGCAATTAAATACAGTAGAACCTCGATTATCCAGATCTCAATTATCTGGATTGTTCAAAATAAACAAAAATTTTACAAATTTGCTGTTTTGCACTTGGCAAATTACAACACTGTTTATGTATGTGATGGAATGCATAACTTTTTTTGTTTCAACAACGTCTCACCCAGCACATTGGTCGTAAACTCTTAAATATATTTTGCGTTGAAATAAAAATATAACTTGACATACATATTTATAAATAATTTATGTTCAAATTACATCATTTCTATGACCAAGGACAGCATAAGGCATGGGCAACATGGGCCACCTCTTGCCCATGCCTCACGGTCCGAAGGGCCTCGCGCCTCGAAGTTTTATACATTACTTAAAAGTTGTGAACGCGATGAAAAAATTTTACTCGTCTTAAAACAATAAATAGTTTGTCAAATTTTTATTCATAAAAATACAGTTTCAACTGTTTTTTATTTTATAAAATCCATCTTCTTGCGCCACCAGAGGGCCTTTTAAACAATAGGTAGTCTGTTAGCACTGGTCAGTAGTCGTCCAAATTCAATACAAACATTTGTTTCTTGAAAATTTGATCACAACTTAAATACAGTATTTATTTTTAATATTACCGATATGTCATCGAAAAGAAAACTTGTTGTATTATCATTAAAAGACAAATTAAAGTATTTGTTTTGATTATCCGAATTTTTCCTTATCCGGACTACCTTCATCTCCAATTAGTCTGGATAATCGAGGTTCTACTGTATTTCTTTCTGTTGGAATTTTATGATGTGTATCTTCAACAATATAGTGAATTTTACGGTTTAGAAGACTTTTTAATTATCTACTGATAATAAAAAGGCCTTCTAATATAGTTTAATGTTCTGTTCATGGTTTTTATTTGAATTAACTGCTCTATTATTAAAAACAAATAAGAGATTTAATTACTAAATCTAAAAATATTTATAATATGGATCTTATATAAACATTTATACATAACTTTATCAGTAATTTAAATTTGTTCATAACTTATGACTTTGTAAGGACTAACAAATGATAAAATTAATTAAAATATTATATTTGTTCATCTCGCTCATTCGTATCCAATCATGTATTGATATTTTGGCTAGAATTCCAAGATATCTATTTGGCTGTCCAACTTTAAATTATGGATTTCCAATGAAATGATTACGGCTGTCACTTGTGTCAGAGATGTAATTTAGTTTAGAAAAAATAGTCTTTTTCAGCTCTTTATAAATGATGTCTTAAATATTGATGTCAACTTCTATTTTTGAAGATCTTTACAAAAATATGACCTTAGATTGCATTATAAAATTTCATATAACTCCATCATATATTTTTTTTATCTTTGTCTTATCATCAGAATTACTTCAGGTGAGTTAAATAATGAGATAAATTAGTTGATTTCAGTCAAGTGCAATGGGTGTAACATGCATTTTATCAACACAATTCCAACAAGAGAAACTCTCTTGCTATAAACAATCCTGTTGATAATATTTTATTTAACTGCTCAAAGTAGGATTGTGATGCATTATACATGAGCAGTTAATAAATTCCCAGAATAGTGGTATGGCGCTTTAGTGATAGAATGTTCATCAATGCATGCCCATTGTTTAGGTGTTAATATAAAACTATATAGAATACATTAGTTGTAAAGTTTAATTTGGTAGATTTAAATTTTGTAAATCTCAAAAATAATTGAAATTTGGATTCAGTTTGCATGTAGAATGCTTCAGAACGAGCATTCCAAATGGAACACGTATAATTGACCTGAAGCAAAGCTGTCAAGTTGTTTAAAAATTTTGTATTTTTGAAGTAATACTGGAATAAAGCAAATGCTACCAATGTGATTAATATTTAATGTGTTCTACAGCTAAGTACAACTGTTCTACAATGTTTCTTCACACATGCAGTACAGTATGATCCTTTAAATCTGCCATAGTTGTAAAATTTCCATGATATTCTTTAAACAGCCCAAGGAATCAAAGATTCAGAGTCAGAGAACTTGGTGACTAGGCAATTGGAAACAAATGATTACCAGAAGGTTGATGAAATTTAGCAAAAACCTGTAGTATGTTGCACAATCTTTTTCTACAATTTTCATTGAAGCAGTTATGACATTACTAGACTAACAAGATGGAGCTAAGACAACTCTTAAATATTTACTATTAAGAATATTGGTCTAAAAATAATTAAAATGGAATTAGTGACAAAAATCAGACATACAGCACAAAATGTCATTAATTATATATTACATGAGTTGCTAAACCTTGTCATGATAGGAGTTATACACTGCCTATAAGAAACGCACAAGAGCCACATCCTCTATTGGAATGTCTATCAGACAGTTGCAATCATCTATTTATATTATATATAGTTAAGATACGTTAGTTATCACTATTAATTTACCAACTTTATGACTAACTAGGTAAAACAATCATTTAACTCCTTTGACTTTACAAACATACCCTAAGGTTTTAATTGTCCATTCGAGATTAAGTTGCAAATTATGTTTACAATCCCTGTGTATATTGCACTACAGAATAGTTGGAAAACTAAAAAAATATATAGGCATAAGTAGTACATACTGAGTTTATAATAAAAAACAATTGTAATTGTATAAGTACATGGAGCTATAATAAAGGGTCTAAAAGTCTCATGTGGCTCATAAGCCACAGTGGATATATTCCATTGAATCTAAAATGCACCCATTTCCAAAAGTAAAGTACAGTATACCGTATATTCAGGTTTTATATACAGTATATTGAAGTAGATGATATAACCATAAACTAATATATGGACGCTTCATTATACATAACATACTAAACAGGTGTATAAGCTACAAGGATGCTTGCCAGCTTAAATTTTATATCTCTTCCTTGACATTGAATTGATGCACAACAGATACCATTTAACGTTCCTTGCATTCTACAAGGAACACCATCAAAGAATTAATTTCTTGTTGTATAATTTTCATAGACATTGCTATAAAAATTCAGTTTATCATTTACTCAATAAGGATTCTTTACTTGTCCTCAACAGAAATTGATCCACGTTTACATATCTGTGTGAAACAATACAACAGAATGGCTGAAACCAGTAGAAATTTTATTAGCAGTTTGTTGCAACTTAAAGCAAGAACATAAAAACAAGTCAGTAAAGGAATCATTGTTTTAAACCCAGCAATTGAAAATAGTTTAAAAATTTAGGAAACATAACAAGCCAGCATTCAACAAACAGGCAAAATTACTTGCAATAGAATTACATGTTAATGAGCTCTTTGGAAGCATTTAAACTGCATCATCATCATCATCACTGCAATATGTAAATATTAATATAAGTTATATGCATCATTTAATCACAAGATAATACAAATGATAATTACAAATGTACAATGTCTTTAAAGGTTCATTTCATTTTTTTTTTCAGACAACAAAGAGGAAATCAAACAACCCACAATATAACAACACATAACAAATTTTTCCTAAATCATAGATGAAAATTATATTCCCATTATAAAGCTTTTGTGTACACCACATCCTTAATTGTGCTTCCTATTCTAATTACTTCAGTTATCCCTAAGTAGTCTTATCGTCTACACACATACCCAATTGATTTTGGAAGAAGTGAAAGATAAGGTTAGTTAAATCAATACAAAAGTCAATACTCGGTAATAAGAAATGGCAAAAGAAGACCATATAATTAAGTAGCTTTAAAACAGTTTAAATTTTGTTGCAATAGATTAATGATTATTTTCACCAAGCTGTAACAATCCTTAATGTGCCAATATTAAAGCATTATTTTTCAGAAGTTGCTGCAAATAATAACACAACAAATATAACATATTAAATTAGTAGACATTTTATATAATAATAATCTTATATAAAGCTAGATGCAACAATGCCTCACAAGTATTGGGAGACATACTACTTTCCATGTATTAAAAATTATACTATACAAATCAGCTATAGACTTCAGACATCAGGTTAGCCCAGATTTTTTCCACCTGTCCATTTATCCAAATGTGCATTTACATATTACAATGGTGACAGGAACTCACATGCATTCCTAAAGTCAATTTTTTTGCATATGTCAAAGCTACCAAGCACCAAGGCCTTTTTTAGCAAGCTCATTACAAGTTTAGCCAGGCCCACAATGAAGCATCAGGTGATGAGGGGTGGTGCTCAGCATACCCAGAAGGACCACCCTCTGAAAAAATTCCTGTTTTTTTGGCCCATCCCAATTCAATCCCAAGTCATCCAGAGCAGTAGGCTGCCACCTCACCTGCTTGGCCATGACCTAAATCATTTTGAGAAATGATCTGTTAGAGAATTAAAACCTTTGTGGAACCCAGATGATCCAACACAGTTAACCAGATACATATTTGGTTCCTAATTTGATGTTTTCGTAGCCTGACATTGAAACTGAGATCTTTCTATAGATAAGAAAACAAGAATAAAGAACAACAAAAATCAACGCATTCTCAAATTCACCAATTTATTCTTAAGCTTGAACTCTAGAGATGTCAGTTCTTTAAATTAATTGCAACTTCTGAAGCTTAACAAATACAAATGAACATTAACATAAAAATAACCATCGTAATAGCTACATCAACATCCATTTTCAACTAACAACGATCGTCAGGATGATCTCTAAAGAAAATAACATATTACGCGAGCCGATCGTCGGCATCGCTCGCACCACGTCTAATCTCGAGCTTCTTCCGACACGGCCAAGCAGTTTTGAAATATCACCACTATCCGTTTATATTAAATACTATCTATCTACTAAGCACGAAAATGTTTATCCGTTCAACTAAATCAAAACATAGTTTGCATAAAAACAAGGAAAGATATAAATTAAAAACAGACGTGGTCGACAACATGCTCGACACATTAATCCGGACAATTTAACATTGTTCGCATCAGCCAGACAGTCAACGTGGAAGAAGTCATCAGGTCAGAACCTTTAAATTTTAAATGACCTGGTCCCGTTCATCCACTCGACTCTTTCAGGATAGGATCTACCAGCAAGGTACAATCATAGCATACATCAACAAATGACAAGTTGCAAAATACACCAGAGATAAGCTTAGAAGACAATATAATACACGTACTCTACTAATAAACACGGCTTTAGACGGATAAGACGACTTGACAGCCTAAACGACGCTGCATATATTTAATTACTTACGAGACAGACAGACAGACGGACAGACTACCTTTTTCATAATGCCCGTTTTCCTCTTGCTGAAAGTGGTGTATCTCCGTAGCTTGTTATCGATGAATTCCATTTTGATCTTGACTCTTCCTTTAGTCTTTTTACCATTGGTGGGTTGAATTTTTTTGCTTAATTCCGTTTCGCTCTCGGACAATTCGTTATCTTCGCACATTCTCCTCTTGATCTTGATACGTTCTTCGTTGGCAGAATCGTCGTCGGACATCTGTTCGCTCCTTTCCTCGTTAAACATGGACGTTGTTTTATGCATGGCACTGTTTATATACTTTATTTTTATTCTTTTAATTAATTTTCTTAAAAAAATCACCGAAAATAAACACGTAAATACCATCTATTGACATTCGACATGGCGGTCTGCCTAGGAAGACGTGCCTCTACTTAACCGTAACGTGAGAAAAAAAATCATTTCTATTACAAAAAATTCAATTGGGTCCTTTAAGTACGATACGTCGTAACTGACCAATAGAACGCCGAGTATTACCGTGACATCACTTACGTTTACGATCGATTCGATTAAATAGTTCGTTCGGACGTAGCGCGATCGATGTTTTGTATCGATCTAATATAGTTCCGTGTGAATTTCCAGTTAAATATTTAAAATTTCGAGTGCTTTTATAATAATTAACTCGATGATTACTATATTTATTAAGATTTTAAACCTATTTCGGGTTCTAGAAGTGTTATTGATAATATGGCGGATAGATACACCAATAATTTTCCAGTTATAAGGCTGCATCTTCCATATATGGTAAGGTCAGTTTCCAATTTTGGAAGACAACGCCTTATAAGGAATATCGACTGTGACCTCACGGAACGTTTCGATCGTTTAAATTTTCTCGTGTTTAAATTATGTTCGATATCATTTATAAATTGTCCTTACTATGGTTTTTGCGTCATAAATAATTAAATTCAAGTGTTACGTCACACAAATTAAACACTGATTCGATTGTCATCGAGTACAATGCGTTTAACAAGTCGTGCTGTGTTAAACGTGAATGAAAAAGTAAACTTTCTCGTGTTTGTTCTGTTCTATAAGAGCGAGATTTGCAAGAAACTCTCTTAATATATTTTCCCCTTTTTTCTCATGTGGATCAATGAGTCAACAGTTGATTCTGTCTGCGTTTTCATCAGTCAATAACTACAAAGGATGTTCGTGAATCGACCCGTTTTATCGACTTTGCAAGCTTAATGTCGTATATCAGGTCAATACAATTGAATACCTGATATCTAGTTTTAAAAATAAATTAAAAAACAGATGAATCATTCATTTTTGCATAACACTAAAACAATTAACTTCGCAGGTTGCATTCTATTGGCTGATTTAAAATTGTTTTGAAACCTAATTGGCTAGTTTGAATATTTTGTATTTTTAAATCATATATGACACATTTTATTTCTTTATAATTTTGTATACTCAATGGTTGACAATTCATTTTATTATTATAATTTGTGACATTACAGTATAAATTGTAACAATATAACAATAAATTCAATAATACATTCGTTGATTTAAGCTCGGATCAATGTATTACTGACTCCTATGATAATATTTATAAATCAATAAAATCGATGCTTTAATGATTAAAATGAACTGTTAAAACGCTTAAATTAAAAATAATAAAAACAAAAAATAAATATTGTTAATATATAGGATGGCCCAAAAGTCTGTCAACCGAGTTCACTGATTTTTGGGCCAACTTGCTAAACATTTGAATTGTTTGAAAGTTAATTAATCGTGTTATAATTTTAATTAATATATAAAGCTGTAATTCATTAACACAAATTTGTAAACAACAATTCTATTGGATGATTTAAATTTTATTTGAATTATTGAATCAATTATATTTTTGATATAATATTTAAGGTCATGTTTTTAATTATGTAACTATTAAAATCGATCAAATATCGCTTATGTATTTATATTTTTAAATGATAAACTTTGACATTAATATAAAAAACAAAAATTGTTAGTTATAAACTGTGAGAAAATAATAATAAGTATATTGATATAAACATTGACAAATTGTTGCTGTAAAAGCTTTACACATTTGATTAATCTTGTATAACATCAAGATTTTATAAACACTTACAATTTTAGAATGTTTGTGTATTACTTTTACATCCCAGATCACGATTATATGACTCATTATTTCAAATTTACATTTAGACAGTTCTATTGGATAATTCAAAATTTTTACCTTCCTGATTGGTTAATTTGAATTATTAATTAAAAAAATACATATGTTCTCCTTTCTGCAGATTTACTAACAATTACCCGATTTAATTTCTTATAATTTTACTTAATTCATATAATTTATAGTTATTATTTATAGAATAGAATAAATCTATTTTATAACGTTAAAAATAAAATAAAATATGCGGAAGATGTATTATAAGAGTAGCAGTTACTACCAGTTACATGGATATTGTCCTCACTTCGTTCTATCGATAAAAATTTATTATTGATCTGAAATATTGCACTTTTTTGTAAAATCAATTGAAGTTTAACGCTTTATAAGTGTATTAGCAATATGATATTTAGAAGAATCCTGAGTCCCCAGAGCAGTTAGGGTGGCAGCCCACCGTTGTAGGGGACCTAGGATTGCAGGTCGAGAAACCTCAGGAATTATTTGGGAGTCCGAATATGTCAGGTCTCTTTCCTCACCACCCGGCCGCTTCGTTATGGGCCTGACAGAATACAAAATGAACTTGCTAAAAATGGCCCTCCTAATGCCTACAGGGCGAAAAATATATATATAAATATATATGCTCTTTAGACTAAATCATCCTCAACTATATATATTATAAAGAGAGTGAAATCGATATACGATATACGATTTATGCATTAGATTACTAAATGACTTTAGCGATCCGTCCAATTCTATATGGATCTGGGTTCAAATTTCTTTTCTTATTATTATTATTTTTTTTGTTTATAATTCGATTTAGTATAAGTGAGGAATTAGTAACTCATTCCTCACTCATGCTGAACAATTCCATTGCCGGTCAGTCCATGTAGTCCATGAAAAAGTGAGCGACTCGATCTATCACGGATAGTATGACCAGTGGTTCTCTAGCAAATCGAATTTTGCCATATGACCTTATCGTGCTGTTCTCTTGTTTTGAATATGAACTAAATTATCATGAATTTTCAAGGATAACTATGGATTGAGACGTCGTTTCTCGTCTCTCATCTATTCTATGCGGTCCATTTACAATCCAAGTGTGTGTACAATAAACAGACGTGAAATTATCGTAACTTTCCAACGTAGTTTTTATGTTCTAAATGACCTCGAACATTGCGTGCCAGTGCATCATATAATAATGTTTTGTACTCTATAACAGAAAAATAAATAAAGTTAAACATAAATGCATTGATCATATTTACAATATTGAGTGAGGATATTTCAAAGGGAATGTATTTCTTAAGGGGCTGGAAAACTGGCCATATTTAAGTGTTAAACATATGAAAAAATCTCAGAAAACTGCATGTGATTAGCTTGTTGGTGAAGCGCTAATCCATGACTAACTTCATGGTGTTGTGCATGCAGACACTGGTTGGCCCACCCCTTTCTGAGTAGCTACTCTCAAGTTATACAAGTGTTGAACATATAAGATGAAACTCATTAAGCGACAATTTGAAAAATTGTGAACCTTTAAATTCCCACTGTCGACCACTGTCTGTTCTTCCTTAATTAATTTCGAGACCGGTATTAGATACTGTATATAAAAGTCGAAACCAGATATGGAAAGTTTTGGAGCAGGAAGACCCGATTAATTAACTTTACGAGTTTTCTAGTTTAATCGGAAGTCACGTGATTTCAATTCAAAAATGTTTCCCGAACGGAGTTACTTAGGGACCCATACGATTCTGATGTTATCGGATAAGTACGACGTACAGGAGTAAGACACTACTAATTAGAGATCGAGAGCATATATTTTGAATTCAATAAAGTGAAAAGATTAAAAGTTGCAGCCCGATATTGTCACGATGTCACAATAAATAATTGTATTATTTTTACTAATAAAATTAAAATAATTAAAACTAATTTTTATTAATTAAATTAATAAAGAAACATTCTACATATTGCATTTATTAAAAAAAAACGTGATAAAGGCCCTTTCTATTCGTCAGTCCATGCACACTCTCCATCGTTCTGTCTTCGCTACAATATAAAGGGTCCACCACTCCAAATTTCACCAAATAATATTAAATAATAACACTTATAGAGAATACTTGGAGTGCATATACTTTTGGCATCAAACTGACCCAAGATTACTTTGATTCTTCAAATTGTGTATACGAACGAACTACAGTATAGTGATTTGATTAATCTCTATTTGTGTATACAAACGCCATCTAGGATCAATTGGATCGCGATCAAAAAATTCCAAGCGGAGGATAGGATCGTTCGGATCAGATAAAAAGGATTTAAGATGGAGACCTCCATGATTAAAATCAAGCTTATAGTCAAGATGACAGCAAAGAAATATGTTTAACTGTCAACAATGAAAAGTATTTAAAACTTATAAATGGTAAGTAAAACATCAATATTAATTTAAATATTAAAACATCCAATAAACTGAGATGAAAAAATAATCATTAACTTTGTAACACTTGTCATCATTCGTCTCCTCCACCACAATCCACATACGAACTTCCTTTAGGTTAATTCCGACGCGGGATAAATTGATTCCCCCCTAACAGTCGGCCAGTTTACAGATATAGTTGTACCAAACATCCATTGACTAAAATAGATACACTGAAAAAATTAGTAAATACAGAACTCAGAAGCGCCCACGAAATAAAGCGCCTGTGAAGAATGGATGAAGTACGTATTGTGCCAGTACTCCTTTTTTGCATACCAAATACACTACACATGCTCGAAACATTAGATCTCCACAACAGCACAATGCGTCACTTTACTAAAGGCTGCCATGCTAGACACATGCTAGGAATTTCTTAAACACGTATATGCATCTGTGGTTAAACAGTTGTTTTCTGTAGTTTTGGTCCGGCATAGCACTCGGCATCTTTATATGCGACGTATAGGAAACATTCCAAAAATGCCATATAAAAATATAAACTACCTTTTTTAACAAGCCTATTATGGGTTCGGCTAGGCCCACTATGGGGCCGGGCGGTCAGGGACAGGCCCAACATATCCGGACCAATGTCTAATAAATTCATGGTGTTTTTCGACTTCATGGTGTTCAGATTCGATCATGTGTCCCCAGAGCGGTTGTCTGCCTTCCTAACCGCTCGGCCATCCGGCCGTCACCGATTACGTCTCTCAATATTTTCATCTATTACGTAATAGATTATTATAATTTGTAACTAGACACCCTAAACGAAGACCCTCCACCTCATATTAGTATCAGTAATATATCACCGCGTTAATTTACAGTTCCGAATATAAACGATATTTTGAAAAACCCAATATTTCGGATATCTAGTTTTATCTTTTGTAATAACGAAAGCGCCATCTTATACGTTGCATTTATTATAATTTTAACTAAACGGATTATAACTAATAATTAATAAATAATAATAATCCGTACGTTATATAAAAACTTTAAAAAGTTTTAAAAAATAAGATAAATTATCAATTATTTACACTAGGTGGCGGAACGACGACCACTTCAGTGTTTAAAGATGGCGATGTTTATGTGACAAGATGCACGGAGAAAGAAGCGAAACTATTTAAATCTATTTTATGAAAAATGGACTGAAAATGATGAGCTCGGTCTTACACTGTTACGAATTCCTTTTATTACAAAGACTCGACGAGGACGAAGATTTATGGAACGAGTTAAAGGAAAAGTTTTGCAAAGAGAAGGAACGTTATGTTAGGTTACAGGTACTTAACCATTTTAATCTGATTTATTACTAAAAATACCCTTAAATTCGCCCAAATTTATCACATTTATACATCAGACTCCATCCTTACTACATTAACAACAATAACCGACCTACAGACACTACATACAGGGAAAAATCAGGTTAATCTATAATAGCCTTTTTTCCCCCTTTATAACAGTAATTTCCTATAATAATTTGAGGCTGTGAAGCTTTAGTCTCATTGCTATAGATACATTTAACATCATTTCATAAATACGTGCAGACAGACAGACAGACAGACCAGCAACGGTAAACTTATCTCTTGCATGTGCTTTGATTGGCACAGTATGAAGATAATTGACTCATAATTAAAGGGATTAAGTAGCAATTAAATGTGGTATGTCCTTGAGTAGATTTAATTATATTAATGTGTTTAGTGCCGATTGCGTTTATTAAATCTTGTTACTCTGCTACTCTCTATAGCAAATTCTACATCGTATGGATTTACTATTATAAAACTTATTAAGTAATGCCTGGGTGGGCATGAAATTACTTTACTGTATGAACTTTAATATAAAGGTCAGTCTAGAGCAGGACATTTGTTTGTGATTCTCTCAATAAGTGCGTTAGCAGTATGCTGTTTAGACCGAATATTAATTTTCTAAATCATAGAGTGGCTTAAAAGTCAGGTAACCATACTCTGTTTTGTGTGTTCTAGATAAAACAAATTTAGAACATGCAACAGCTAGACACGTGTTTATTGAGATGTTTGGCTGCCTTTATAATGGTTAACTGGTTTTCGAGTTGCCGCGAAATGATACAAGTTTTATGCTTGTTACGTTAAATGGGGACGTCAGTGCTTGTTGGTTACTATATTATATGATTCCGGGTAATTTACAGTAATTATGTTGTTCTATTTTCATAATTATCAATAGAACATTTTAGTATTGTGAGTATAAGGCTATAGTCTCGAGATTTTGACTGGTTGTATATTCTAGATAATACAGTGCAACACAAACATTTGCATTTGGTAATATAATATTTGCAACTTAAAGTTTCTTCTGTAAATCTCCTCCTGGTGATGAGAGATTAGAAATCGTATTTTGGTTCTATATCCAGTTTACTGCATATTTTGACTTTAAATTAGATTAAAAGAGAGACAAAAATGTTTTTAATTCAGTATCTTGAATCCGTAGGTTACAATGATAATATTGAATCGAAGTAACAACACCCATTCTTCTATCTGATGATAATTGATAAGAATGTGTGTGTTATTAACTATTTATTGAACAGATAAACTTGCATTTATATATATAGTTTAACCTGATTATTTGCATATTGCAAATGAATATTTTGATACATTTGATACAGTTTAATATGTAAATGATAAATAGTTAATAAATTGAAGACAAAATCTATTAAAATCAATCATATTTTATTCACTTTGTCTTGAGAATAACACTAACGGTACTATTTTTCTTTTATTGGGGAGCAGTTGGAATTTTTCATATGTGCAACTCTCTTATTTTCCAGGCTGTTATACTTTCCAATACTTTCCATGTTATATATATAACATGTCTAGTTCAATCCTCTAGGTTGTTTACAAATCTGGATGTTTTGAGACCCCCTGAAACATGAACAGAAAATTTGACATGGTAACTTGTATATAAGGAGCATTGATAATATAAAATTTTATAGTATGGAACTTATGGGAGTGGTTTATAGAGGGAGGGTCATCTTTTGTGTTTCAGCTGGGGTAAGACTTAATGAAAATTTTATTTGTGTGAGTTTTAAGCTCATTTTTTACAAACTTGTCTCAACACTCAAAATTAAACCTTTTTGCCTTTTTTTTATAATAATAATAATTATTATTATTTAATAAAGTATGTTAACAGATGGCACCATTCAGAATTATTACTTTTCTGGCTGTTACAAAACACAGGAAGGTGTCCTAGGAAATTTTTCTAAAAAGGTGGGGGAAGCCCAAAAAAGCATAGATTTTGGGGAATGGAGTCCAACAAAATAGCATGTTGCTAACTTTTCCGGTGAAGTTCGGAAAGTTATGTAATTCATTGCTGGATGTATAATTACAGTAGACCCCTATAACACAGATTCCCATATGACGGCGAAAAGATTGTGACAGTATCCTCCTATAATTCGGTAAAACATCATCAGGCAGCCGAACTTCTTTCTGCTGTCCAGAGCCACGCTGCGGAGAGTTTAGGCAGGTAAATTGAGTTTACTATCGTCTGTACAGTATTATATATAAATTAGGTACTGTACATATAATTATATATTAACTTAATTTATTGTAACTTTATTATAATTATATATATACTTTCCGCTGTCCAGCACCACGCTACGGAGAGTTTAGGCGAGTAACTTGAGTTTACTATCGTCTGTACAGTATGTAAATTAGGTACCATAAGTCTAATACAGCACTAATTTTATACATTTCTTGTGAAAGAAACATTTCTTATTCAAAGGCCATAAAAATTATTTATATTAATGATGTCTCCAAAGTTCAACGAAGTTTTCGCAGAAAACTTACCAGAAATTGTGGCTGCTGTTTGGTGCGCTGCTCCGCGACAAAAACAAGCTTAAGCAATAGCGACGTCGAACGGTGCACACTCGGTAAGTAATCCTACAATTTTTTGTTTATAGCATAGTTTATACGGATTATTCCCAAAAAAATGTACGTATTTTGGAAATGTTGAGTCAAATTAGTCTAGGAATCGACTAATTTTATGGAAGAAAACCTTTCAAACAGCCGTAGTCCATAAACTTCACACATGTCGGGCTGTGATTGGCAAGGACTCGTACAAAATGGATTCATAGAGAACGGAACGTATCTACCGTGTTATAGGGGGGGTCAACTGTAAATAAAAGTTGAAGAAGCTGTGTGTTACTTAGTTTTAAGGATGAACTTAGTAAAGATATATTTATACTGCATTCCATATTGAAATATATATCTTATAGTTTCTGGGACTGAAAGTGAATAAAAGACAATATATTGGACCAAACCTGATGGGCCTATGTGCTAATAAATAATATCAAATAATACAGCTGGGGTAAAAGCTTAAGTTGAATGAAGGCTATGGACACATAGTCAACCCAGTTGGTGTGGTGAGTTACAATAGGATTATATCTTCTAAATTAATTAGTCTGGACATCTAGCAGAGTGGAGGATGGCAAACATAGCAGAATTCCGCAAACTTTGCCATCATAGTTTCACACAACTGTTGGACTAAATTGATCGTAAAGATGAAAACCTGCTACTCTGGGATTCGGGTTTGAGTCTAGGCCAGAAACTCGGGAACTTTTTGTGGGTGGTCTGTCCAGGATATGTAGGGCAACCTGGTCAGATTCGTGAGCCTGAAAGAAAAGCTCACAAGCTGGAAAGACCCTAATAATAAATAGTGTTAAATATTTGCTCTTCAGACACTCCTAATCATTATTTTTATCAAAATAATGTCATTTAATGCAGTGACTTTTAAAAAAAATATTTTCAGCTTAGTGTGCATGATTTTAAAAAATCTGGAGCATAAAAATTAAATAATTTATAGGTCAATATATATATAAAATTCTTTCAGTTATTTTAAAAAATGAACATAAATTTCATACAATTCTTCATATTATCTGCACTTCCTTTTCTGCATTGTTAATATAAGAAATTATTATTATTATTATATAGAATTGCAGGAAACATATCTGTTTATTGTTAGGAAAATAAAATAATGATTTATAAAAGGATTTAATCAATTCTTTGAGTTTACAAAGAATTACTTTTTAAAAAGTTGCTTCAGAGTGACCTTTAAATGCTTTGTGTTTATACCAGGCTGGCACTAAAGTCAGTTAACCAAACATTATTTTTAAAATTATTACAATCAGTTCTATGTAGCTATATGCTACTGTTTATTTGTGATTATTTACTTTTGACATTACTGTAGATAAAGAAATGTTATAGACTTGCTGTATTTATATTGGTTTTTGCTGTTTATAACTGCTATTTATACTAACAGAAACCAAATATAACAAAACAATATTACTTTTGATTGTCTGAATAGAACAGGAAAAATGCATCCCTTCTAACCTGGTATCATTTAAATTGTATAGAAATAGAGAAATTCTCAAAGAAACATGACTAGAACAATGCATACAAATACTTTTTGTTTTTACTGGTATACTGGATACATCAGTAAAGTGTTTCATTCCCTACCCTTGTTTCTTGGCAAATCAGGTAAGTTATGTGATTTATGATTACTTAGTGACCCTTCCACAGCCATTATTGGCATTTGATGTTAATCATTTATGTAATCTTAGCTAATTGAGTGTTTAATGTGCTATAATACTTTCCTACCTGTTAAGTATATAACATGGAAAAGTGTTCTTTAATAATTGTGTCAAATTTTGACACTCCGGGATTTTGCAAATCCCTACATTCTGAATCCCTCGAAACTCAAATTAATCAAAAACATGGAAAAAAAATTGCGTGTTGGCATTTATTTTGTTTAATATATCAGGATGGTATTAAGACTAAGAAACAAAATTTGGTGTGGTTACTTGTATATAAGGGACATCGATGCTATTGGAACTATATTTTATATAAATTATATGTATGTACAACTTATATGGGAGCTACAGTAAGAGTGTAGAACAGCTTCATGTGGCTTGCAAGCTGCAATTTGGCCACCTTGAGCACATATGGCAGAAACATTGTTACTTGATGTCAAGAGACTTGTTTAAGTATTTCACTTTTTTATTCAGATTTAAACATTTTTAGGACATAAATTCCATCATCAGAATTTATAAACAAAAAAAAAATGGAACAGAAACATCACATGCATGTTCTAAAACTTTTGACAATTGAAAGTTCAAACACCTGTTTTAAGAGTTCTATCACATGTTGGAACAGTTAAAGAAATAAACCAGATCAATAAGATGAACGGGAGCAAGTATCATGTCTCAAAACTAAGTTTGCCATCATCTGCCCATCCACCGTATTAGATTTTATTAGGA